GGTGCTGCCCAGCAAGCGGCGACGATCGGCTTCCTTGATCCGATCGGTGGGCGCCGCCGTTGTGTTCTCCATGAAACCCATGGCGCGCTCGCGCTCTAGGGCGGTCGGCTTCTGCTCGCGGTTTGCCCAATCGAGTACCATGCTCTGCTGCCCCACTCGATAGGCGTGCGAGTTGGCCAGGGAGACGAAGGTGGCAAAAGCCTTGATGGTCTGCCCTGGGACGTTTACCGTCACTGAGCCAGAAGCCTGCGCGTGCCGAGCCACTTTGGCGGTGTGTCCAGGCTCGAGGATGTCCTGCACGCGCTGACCTGGGGGCCGACGCTTGAACTTCTTGTCGGCCATCTCCTCAACCAGGTGTCCTGGAACCAGGTTGGTCCACCAGCGCCGGTTACGGTGGGCGTAGGAGCCCATGGTGACCGCGTCAAAAACGAAGCCCTTGCCGAGGACGGCCTGAACGACCTCGGTGTATTCGCGCCGAACGTCCCGGTTGGGATGGTCGGCTGCGTCCACGTTTTTGAAAAGGTACCCACACGGGCCGTGGATGCGCCAGATCAAGTGGATCACACGCAGAGCCTCTTCGAAAAGCTGCGTGCGGGGGTCTCTGAGCCCCTTGGGCGCGTCAGATGCGCGCGAAAACCCCTGGCAGGGGAAGCCGACAATCACCAGGTCCGGCTTTTTCATGTCCTCAATGTGCTGGCGCGTAATCTTCCTAACATCCTGTGGCAGGAAGGCGTGGCAATCGGCGAACGCTTCAACGCTCAGCTGCTCAGGCCGAATCGCAGACAGCACTTTCAAGCGCTCTTCTGCGACTGCGCGTGTCTTGGCCTCGTTCTCGCATGCATAGACGTGCTGGATCTTAATTCCGTCGCGCACAAGTGCCTCTGTGCCGGCCATGATACCGGAGAAGAGCTCCAGAACAACTAGGCCCGGGCCGTCACTCTTGGCCAGGGGCCCACGCAGGTCCAGCATGCTCGTGTCCAGGGGGCGCAAATGCTGGTACGCCTCCACTGTGACAGGCCGCTGGTTCGGCGGCGGATCGGCCAGCCGTTCCTTGCTGCGCTCGTACAGATCCGTCATCTCGGGCATCAGGTGCTTCTCATAGTGCCACATCCGAAAGCGCGCGTTCTCGAGTTCGAACGGCTTCTCCAAGTTGGGTGACGGAATCTGGAGCAGCTTGTTGTACGAAATCGGAGCACCAGGCGCAAGCCCAGGAGTTCTGGCCGCGCCTGTGCTGGTGCTGGCACTGCCAGCACCAGTGCGGCACTGTAGGCACCAGTGCGGCACTGTAGGCAAGAGGGGTGCCAAGCACAGCTAGCTCCAGATGCGCCGGGCCGATCGTAATTGACCGGCAGGAAGCAGGGGAGACGCGCCTCGCGCGCATGTGGCTCCCACCAGTTGACATAGTACGTCACGACATGTTTGTAGTAGTCAGGCCGAATGCCAGGAGGGCCCATGACGCTCATCCCGATCAGGGTGTCGGGCAAGTCGCCACGGACAATGATGATCTTGGCCCACATGGTGGTTTCGTGGGGCGTCCCGGGGTTCAGGACGAAGTCCACTGGCTTGATGGTCTCGTCCATATGAACCGTCTCACCGCTGGCAACGCGTATCTCGATGGCGTTCTTTCTGACTTTGTCCGTGGTCAGCTTCAGTTTGGCCGCAGTGCGCGGGCCAACCAAAACGACGTCGGCGCCGCAGTCAAGGACCAGGTTATGCAGAACCTGCACGTTGATAAGCATCGCAGGGCGCGGGCCGGTGTTATCGATGCGCGGGAACCGGTAGGTGCCCTGCGATCGATCGCTGTAATATGAACCCGGCAGGCTGCTGAGCAGAGCAGCGAGTCTAGGGTTAGCCGGATTATAAATGTCGTTGTCTGCCGGCGCCTCTGTCAAGGCACCAGCCGAAGTCGGGGGACCGCTCGGCGCAGTCGAGTCGGCAAGTATCTTCTGCAGTCGCCTCAAAAGGCAGAGCTGGGGCCGGGCTAGGCGCGCTCGGCTGGATGATGTGCCCCTGATACTTTTCGTCGCTTGGGGGCAGCTCCTCGAACCCCTTAAGCAAATCTGGCTCAGGGGAACGGGACGAAGTCGGCTGAGCGCGCCGGGGCCGAGCGCTGGCGGCCGGCGGGTCGAAAGTCTCTAGGGGGATCCTCGCGGAAGCATGTGCGACCTCGGGAGTTGGAACCTCAGGTGCATGTGTCGGCTCAGGATCGGGCACTGGCAGACCTGGGCCCCGATAACGTCGCGGGGATAAAACCCTAGGGGCATGTCAATTTGACGCCGACCCTGAAGTCGCTGCGCCTCCGGACCACGCCGCGTCAGGCTGGCCGGTAAAGTCGAAGAGACACGGTGGCCTGCACAGGCGGCCGTGCAGGTCGGAACGCGACTGGGTGATCGGTCCATGACGGTGCCCAAATAACCGTGACCCTTGTCGGCCATGGTGCGCTGCCATAAATCCAGCAACTCCTCATATGAGGGTGGATCGGTGAGCGATTCCCGGGTAGGCATCGGAGTCGCGTCCATAGGATGAGTGGCCTGATTGGCCGCCTGCGAAGCCTGGTTGGCGCCTCGCGGCTTACTCTGGCTAAGTGCGCGGCACTCGGCCGTGCTATGTGTATTGACCTTATGATGGTCACACCACTGCTGAACGGGCGCCCGGGCGGACTGCTGCGCAGCGCCGCCGGGTTGGCGCAGGGTGGGGCAGACGTTTGCCAGGTGGCCCATCTCGCCGCACCTGTAGCATGGTCCGCTCTTGTTTATGCTGCCTGTTTGGCTTGGGCTTAAAGGTTGGCCGTTCGCGACTGGCGCGTGCTGTGCTGCATGAGCTGCCTTTGGCCGAGCCAGACAGTTGCGGGCAATATGGCCGGTCTTGCCGCATATATGGCATGTGCGCGGATCGGTCCGCTGTGCGGCGGCTGGCGCACTGCGACTCGTACTGGCCTCTGTCTTAGTGGCCGCAGTCCACAGCTTCTCCTCGGTATATGTGCGATCGATGCGCACAGCTAGCTCGCTGACCTTCTGTACGGTCCACTTATCAACGTCGAGGCCAGAGGCTATAAGCTGGCGCTTGACTTTGCTTTGCAGGTTGCGCGGATATGCGCCGAGCAGCCGGAACACAGCCATGTGCTCGGGCTGGTTTAGCAGGCCCTTGAGGGTCTGCATGCGCTGCGAGAGGCTCGCGACCGTCTCGCCGGGCTTGGCCGCGAAGTGAGTGAACTCATCGAGACGAGAGCTTGACCGCTCAGGGTACAGCTCCTCCATGTGCTTCGAGAACGCATTCACCGGGTCGGTATATTCGGTGAGCGCTGCAGGCCTATCTGGCCGCTTAGGTTCATTATTTGCCTGGCGCGAAGCTGCCGGCGTAGCATCCCATACAACTTTCTGCCGCTCATAGTCGGCTAGGTCACGCTCGTAGTTGCGGAGCGCTGCAGCGTTGCGCTCTTCTAGGTCGGTTATAAGGCGGCGCTCTAGGGCGCCTGCCTGATCACGGGCACCGCCTGCCGTCATCTTTACGAGCAGGTGGAAGTAATCATTCTGTGTCAGGCGGTCCGAATTGGGCTTAAGCTTCACTTCCGTCATCAGCGCCTGATAATTCTGGCGCAAGTGCATGAGGCTGGGCCCGCCGGGCTCGCCGGTGAACAGGCCAGCCTGGGACGCGAGTGACGATTCCATGCTGTCAAGTGCAAACACGGAGAACCCTGGTATAACTAAGGGCTGACTGGTCACACCGCCGTCCGCAGTCCGAGTATCCAAATGTCCTAGTGTCTGGTGGCCTAAAGAGTCCGCCGCAGAACTAGAGTCCCCAAAATGACGTCAGCCTGAACTGGCACACTAGTGCCACTGGCACACTAGTGCCACATTGTGCTAGCGCCACAATGCTCTCTCCAAATAGCTACTCACAAAAAGTGTCTAGGTATGCTCAAGCAAGAGGATGTCTACCTGCAGTCTCTGAGTCAAGTCTACTAGTGTGAATAGGCGCTCTAAATGTCATATCTAAGGCAAACGCTAAATATCTACGCTGACATGAAACTTGGGCCGTCCGATGATGGCCCGTGACGCTAACTCTAATGTATCGTAATCACGATCTAGAAGGATGGACGAATCTACTGAGTCTATTATCACTGCTGATGCCTATGATGCCTGGCAAGATGGCCCAAGTGGCCTATGATGCTAGCAACTAGTATGGTGACAAACATGCTCAACATGCAGAGCGCTAACAAGGCGCTCATGCCTCATATGCACAAAGCTGACGTGGCGCTCACGTATGCTCGAGGCTATGCAGCACCGACAATCGGTTGCCTGACAGCTGTCGTGCCGTAATGAGTCGAGGCTGGACCGTGTCGAGTGCGCTCAACAAATGCAGTCGAAGCGAAAAAGCATGATGCCTATGCAATAAGCTACGTGTAA